AGGAAAGGACTGCAGATGTGTGTGCTGGTGTGTGGCATTTTCAGGAAACAGTGATCAGCAGAGCTAGGACCACAGCAGATGTCTGGTGAGGGAGTCTCTCACAGATATTAGTGCATGGTAAAATCAAACTGAAAAAGCCTTGCACAATGCCTTGCCAGAGGGGTCAACGAGAACATGGCACACAGAATCAACTAAGCAGGGCTCACAGGGGCCTCACAGAGACTGAAGTTGCAATCACACAGCCTGTTAGAGTCTTAGCTAGGTCCTCTGCGTGTATGTTATTGTTGTGCAGCTTGGTGTTCTTGTGGGATACCTAACAGTGGGAGTAGGGGTGTCCCTGACTCTTTTGATGCTTGTGGGACCCTTTTCCTCCTACTGGGTTGCTTCATCCAGCCTTGATATGAGGGTTTGTGCTTAGTCTTATTGTAACTTTGTTGTGCCATGTTTGGTTGATATACCTGGGAGACTTGTTTTTTTCTGTAGGGAAACTGAGAAGTGGATTTGGGGCAGAAGAGAGGTGGGGGGGTGCTGGGATGAGAAAAGTGGAGGGAAAGGAAATTGCAGTCTGGTTTTAATGTATGAGAGAATAATAATAGTAATAATAATTAATAATAATAGGTTAGGTTGAGGGAGCTGGAAAAGTGGTGCCTCAGTGAGTCAAAAGCATCTGTGGTTCTACCAGAGGATCTACCAAAGGTTTGGCATTCAGGACAACAGCAAGCAATTTATTACTGTAAGTCCAGCTCTGGGGAATCTGATGCCCTTTTCTAGCTTCTATTGATACCTACACATGTGTATACACACACACACACACACACACACACACACACACACACACAAACAGTGAAAATAAAACTTAAAAAGAGGTAAGTTGGTACTCTGTAGACGAAGGGAAAGACAAAGCAAGGAGCAGACCAGGTGGAGAGACCGGAGGTTGGGAGGTACTTTAGGGACGCCCTCCCTAAACCAGGCAGGAGACGAGGACCTCTAAATAAAGGCAGAAGTGCTACAGCACATGAAGGTCACAGTCAAAACACACTCAAGAAAGAGAACAGGGATGCCTCTGTGACAGTCACAGACAGAACAGTGTTCCTAACCAAAGAAGCCTGGAAAAGGTTGAATTAAGCAGCCTCATTGGTTCACTTCCAAAGAAGTTAAGGTAGGGGATGCTCCCCACTCTTTCTCCCCGGGCCCAATATGTATCCAACACATCTATTACTTTCACCCAGGTATGATCAAAGTGTCCTTAGTGATGTCCAGGAGGCCTGCCATGGCAAGTGAGGCAGGCACACTCACATCAAGGAGCACTGTGGCTCTGCTGCCTGTCATAGACTCAAAGAAATACACAGCCCTCAGCCCTTTCTCTTGACCAGTGAGGCAATGAACCCTTGGACTCAGGGATTCAAATTCACTAGAGTGAGTTTACATTGCTCCTTTTCAAGAATCTTCCATGGATCGATTCTTTTCTGTAGCCACCCCTATTTTTCCTCTAGAGAAGCATACACAATCTAGGTTCAGTCCATGTGGTGGATGCTCTTTATTTCTGCCTTAGTAGGTGAGCAAACGATCAGGTTTGGTCACCCAGTACTGCGTCACCTTTGCTCCAGGAATGTAATATAATTGAGACCATTGAGAATAAAATCCAAAACACTGTTTCAAATTGCTTAGTATGAGGAATGTTTTTGATTTCCTATGTTTAGATCTACAAGAAAAAGATGTAGGCTGATTCCCAGGATATGGTGAAGTTCTACCTGGACAGATAGTCAAAGCCAAGGGAGGAAAGAACTGAAAGATGGCAAGAGAGATGATGAACCACCCAGCCGCTTGTGAAACCTAACTTTAAAATGTTCTACCATCTGGTAGCTGCTCCTCGGGGCTTCAGCTATTTCCAGTGCTTCACACATTTTTGGTATGCCACCAGAAACACCCTCAAAAAAAAATCACAAGAAAGAAAGGAAAAAAAACACAAAACACCTGCCAGCACCTGCCTGGAAAAGTAGAATGTGCTGAGCAGGCAGCTAGATTGCCTTCCAGAACAAACAGTGCTTCGGAGGGAGCTGCTCCTCTGGAGGTGTGTTCTGGCAACATCTAGAAGGAGCAGCTATTGGAATAGCTGTCATACCCCGAAATGCTTGTGTTGGTCTTATAAATAAATAGGACACTGCATAGAGCAGCTGTTGGCTGTGAGCAACAAAAGAGAAAGTTAAATAGTTTCTGTGCACGTAGCCTGACTGCTGTCAGCTCAGCTTTCCCACATTCTGGTAGACATAATGGCTTCTATCCTGACACAGTACATGTAAGTTCTTCCCCTCAAAGGTCCTCCCTCTCCAAGATCACATATTCCCACCCTAACGGCTTTTTTCCTCTGAGGAACCTTCTCTAACCATTGCAGTCTCCCTGCTATTTTCTCTGCGTCCTTAAAACATTTAACCACGGTGTCACCTATGGATCATCTGGGTGAAAGAGATGCATTTGCATATCTAGCTTAGAAATACACTCCTGAAGCTTGATTTCCATGCATGCTGCCAGGCCATGGGTGAAGACACAAAGAAGAATTTAATACTACTTTCAGGTTGATAAGAGCTGAATTTTAACATTACAAAAGGAGAATGATAATATTCTATGACTTTGTGGACTTTGTGCTTCTGCAAAGGATATCCTGGGAAAAAACAAATATGCACCACAATTCAAGCTTCAAGACACTTAGGCACTGAGGACAGAGAGGTACTACAGCTTCTTCTTTGCTTTCTCCCTCCCTTCCTGCCTCCCTCCCTTCTTCTCTCCCTCCCTCCCTTCCTTCCTCCCAAGGGTAAAAATGCATGCTTAGAATCCTGTGAAGGTAATGGTAGGAATAAGGAGAATTGGGCAGCAACTATATTCCCAGAAAACCAGACTTCAGGAGACATCAAAAAGTCCAGGAGATTACTCTGACAGTAGAGTCTGCAGGAACACTCTCAACCAGTAGCATCCATAAGGAGCAGCAACAGACAGCAGCTGTTGGCACTGTGGCCATAGACAACAGGGAAATCCTGTGCCTGGAGCTGCCTCTGTGAATAGCAGATAGATTCTAGCTGCAGTGTAAATGGAGACTATCTGGCAAGGACTCAGTTTCTTGCCCTGCTAGTGTAAGAGGTTGTTTATGCAAGAATATGGTCCCTGCACTGACAGACTTAGATTGGAATCATAGCTCAGCTCCTAACTATTCTATGACCTTGGGAATATCACTCACCCACTCTATACAATATTATCCTATTAGATAGAGATGAGAGAGACAGAGACAGAGAGACAGCGGCAGACCAAGAGAATACAACCACCTCAGAAGAGTGTTGGGCAGATAAAACAGGATAACACACATAAAGGGTTTTACTCCATGCCTGGCAAATGGCAGACAGCTTAGTAAGAGCTAGGCATCAACATCACCATTATTGTTATTAGCTGAGAGAAGATTATGAGGATTAGAACTGCTGATATGGCAGGATACCATTTACTGAGAAGTAAAGATAATGAACTCTTCCTTGGAAGCATAGGGCAGTGACTAGGGTCCTAAGCTTGACTGAGTGCTCATGCTGACCCTTGAAACCTTGCATCATAGAGACCTCACATATCTATTGAAGATGTGGTCCATCGAGGGAAGTTATAGACATTCTGCACTGAACTGTTTGTGATGTTTCCCACATAACTTAGTTTTGTTAGAAAGGAAACTTCTACAACTTTCATCCGTATCTTATACTTTTCATTAAGTCCTTGAACAATCTAAATCAAAGTCAATGGGCCCCCAGTAATCTGCTGACTGGAACTAAGGCCCCATTGTGGATGGTGCTCACAGTTAGATTCAGCTATCAACTTGACACCGCCTGGAGATATCTGAGGGATTCTCAGGAAGAGGGTTGCCTTAATCATACTTGTCTGTGGCCATTTCTTTGAGTTGTAAATGGTAATTGATGTAGGAGGGTTAAGGCCAGTTCAGGTGGTTGTATCCCTAAGCAGATGGGCATAGGTTGAAAAGACAACGAGCTGATACCCAAAATTTCCTGTAATGAATGTAGGTCAGTGTACAGATTTACATATATAGTTTGAATGAAATTCCCATCTGAGCTGACAGTATTCCTTAAGAAAAAGAACTATAGTTAAAAAAAAAAAAAGCCAAAAGCAACAGAGATAGTCTTCCCCAGGAAAGAATTCATAAACAGGCAATCCAATACCAAATGGTTGGCCCATACATACAAGTAACATTATACAGCTTGAGCAGATTTTATTTATGCATTTGGGAATACACACACAAAACAAAACAAACAAACAACAACAACAAAACTTGTCCATTTCTAAAAACTAAGAAAAACATGTAGCCACTATACAAAGGTGCTTTAAATCTGGACTATGATAAGCTTGTTTTGGATATAAAACAAAATAAACAAGTGAAATATTGGGATTAATCTGTAGCTTTACATTTTGTAGTATTCTTTTGTGACATTAGGTGCACCTATATTTGGTGCATGTATGTTTAGAAGTGTAACATCCTCTTGGTGGATTGTTCCTTTGATGACTGTGAAGAGATGATCTTCATTTTTCCAACTGATTTTTGTTTGAGGTCTCTTTTGTCAGATGTTAGAATAGCTGTGTCTGCTTGCTTCTTAGTTCCATTTTCTTAGAATATGTTTTTCTATCTTGCAAGGTGGTATTTGTTTTAATGGTAAGGTGTGTTCCTTGGAGGCAGGAAAAAGAGTTTGGTAATTTGATATGTTGGCCTTGGTTTGTCTTGAGTAATTGTGACAGTTAAAAATTCATAGTCACTATTGAAATATATATATATATATATATGTATATATATATATATTAATTCTTGTAATTTTTAATTTCATAGTGTTTTCTTATATTTCTTTTAATTAACTACCCTAGTATTTATCTACTGTGATCTACTGGGTGTGTTTAACCTTCTCTTTGGATTTAAATATTACTTCCAGTGTCCTCTGTAGAGCTGACTTAGTGGTCATAAATTTCTTTAGTCTGCTTTTAATTATAGAAATTTTTTATTTCCCCTTGGATTATTACAGACAGTTTTGCTTGATGTAATAGTCTCTGTTGGCAATTGTGGTGTATTTTTGTTGTTGTTGTTGTTGTTGTTGTTGTTGTTGTTGTTGTTTTCAGGACTTGGAATACATCTTTTCAGACCCTTCTGGATTTAAAGATTTCTGTTGAATCTTCAACTGTTGTTCTAATGGGCCTGTCTCTGTAAGTGATTCTTGCAGCTTTCAACACTCTTTATTTTGTGGTGTTTATGTTTAACAGTAATATGCCAAGGTTAGTTTCTTTTCTGGTCTTGTCTATTTTGTGGTCAGTAGGCTTCTTGTACATGGATGAGCATATCTTTCTTTAGATCCAGGGAATCTTTCTAGGTTTTTATTGTAAATATTTAACACTATGCCTTTAGTGTGGTCTTCTTTTTTGCACATAACCCAAGGGTTAGAATCTGCTTTGGTGCCCTCACTGAGTCTGGAATTGTTGTCACATATGTCCTCACTCTGAAACTGAGAAAAGCCACTGCTTTAGCTTGACTTTCTGTTGCTGTGATAAACACATGACCAAATGGGACAGGAGGGAGTAAGGGTTTATTTCATCTTAGAAGTTACAGTCCATTATTAAGGAAAATCAGGGAGAAACCATGGAAGAATGTGGCTTACTGGCTTGTTCTTCATGAATTTCTCCTCGTTGTTTGCTAAACTAGCTTTATTTCTTTTTTAAATATTCTTTTTAATTTTTTGAGCTTATAATATAATCACATCATTTCCCCCATCCTATTTTCCCCCTCAAATCCCTTATTATCTTTCAAATTCATGCCCATTTTTCTTTAACTGTTGTTACGTGTGTGTGTGTGTGTGTGTGTGTGTGTGTGTGTGTGTGAGAGAGAGAGAGAGAGAGAGAGAGAGAGAGAGAGAGAGAGAAAGAGAAAGAGAACAAGCTCGTGGAGTGTGGCTTCATCTTCACATGACTGGCAGTATCTGTCCTTGGCAGCCAGCCCACTGCTGGGATCAATCTGCCCCATCCCCTCACCAATTCAGTCTACTTTTTTTCTTAGTTCTTAGAAATGGACGTTTTTGTTGTTGTTGTTGCTGTTTGTTTGTTTTGTTTTGTTTTGTTTTTCACACAGGTTTCCCCAGCTAGTGCCAGGGGGCCGTGGACTTCCATAGCACAAAAAGTACATTAGGCTAGCCTTCCTGTGCCTCAACTTATCACCAGCCACCCACACACCTTCCATTTCCACCAAATGCTTCTTACAGAGAACTGGAAGTAAAATATTGTCAGGATCCAAATGTGTGAGGGAAGGTCTGCAGGCACTGTGCCTCAGAAAGCAAAAATTAGACCAGAGTAGGGATCCATCTTGGGTTCTTAGCATGTGGAGCATCTGCCTGGTGCCACTTAAGTGGGTTGAAGTGGGTGAGCATGAGCCAGGATCCCATGGGATGTGTCTCTTTCAACTTGGCAAGGTATTCTGAAGATGCAGGAGGATGCAGGGCATGTAGCTTATTTAGGGTGTCCAGGCCTGGCACTGGGCCTTCATTCTCTGACTTGTCTCTTCTTTGGTGCATGTCTTTCTGCAACTAACTTCCAGTCAGGTGGTCCCACTGGAGGAGGCTGATACGGAGAAGCAGAAAGGAGAGCTAAAGGTACATTTTGTCCCAGATTGGTCAAGGAGCAGATACCCAAAGCTCTTCGGGAGCACGACAGTGGCTAACCTTCAAATATCAACCTCTATTACAAATTTCTATTCTGGAAACTAGTTATTTTTCTGTTTCCGGTCTCTACTACCTATCTAGGTAAGCAGAAATCCCCATCAACCCCACTGTCAGCACAGAGTTGACTCCCGGAGCATCTCCCACAGCAGCAGTACCTCTGGTGTAATACCAGACAATGCTGCACACAAACTATGATCTCAATTATGTTGTAATAATAGGCTATTATTAATAAGTAGTTTAAGTAGTTTACTGTGAATGGTGAAATTTGGGATAATTTTACTTTCTTATTTATATTTTATACTTTCTAAATTTTCTGCAATAACAATTTAATTATAATGAAGTGTTGAGATATTATTTTAAATTCTGCGTGTGAGAATATTGACCAGTCTATGCCATCACTGGAGCCATGTGGGTGGGGTAACCTTAGGTAGATACTAGCCCAAATCATGAGGGATTAATATATAATGGCTGACCAGAGCAGGGTAGTAAGCCGGGCAATCTAGGGAAGGAATCCAGCCAGTCTTGAACCTAGGGAATGCTAGAATATCATGCAAAGACTTCTAAATTCTCTCCTCTGGGCAAGCCAATGTTAAAGAAATTAATCGGGCTAAAATATAACTCAGTGGTAGAATGGTTGCCTAGCATGCATAAAGCCAGAGAATCAATCCCCAACATAACAAAGAGGGGGAAAAAAGAAAGAAAAAGAAATGGTTGTTTGTTTGTTTTTTAATTTCATTCAAGACGCCATCATTTTCTCAATTGGGTGAGCCTGCTGTAGACCTTCCAATTCAAAGATGCTGACTGAGGCCTTTTGCTCAGGCCTGTCCTTTCCAGTCAGTCACAGTAACCCCTCAACTCCTCCTCACAGACACTAAGCTCTGAGGAACACCTGGCTCCCCAGGAACCTGGGGCCTCCCCCTTGTCATTCTCATCACACCTGACTTATGAAGTACTTAGGACACCGACAGTTAGGAAACTGTCTCATCATCGTTTGTGTTAATTACAATGTGGCTGTGTTTGTAACAATAATAAACCTCATGAAAAGTAAACTCATAATATTCTCAATTTTTAGAAAACTAGATAAGATGCTTTACATATTTATTGGAAACAAATTTTAAATGCCTGTTTTGACTTATTATTTCGCTGACAAGCTGCAAAATACTTAATAAAATAATATCTTTCTATTTTATATACTTGTTTTCCTGTGATTTTCTAATAAAAAAATCAGATGAAAACACATTTCTGAGTTATTTTCTTTCAGCTTTTAAAGGGAGGTTTGTTGTGAATACAGATAATGTGGCTTATTATTATTTTCCTAGATTCTAGTCTGCTGAACCAGTTCATTAAAAATTCAAGTCAAAAAGAAAATTCTTGGAGATAGAATGTTAATATGCCAGTTCGGAGAAAACAATACATAATTGCTTTTGCAGAAGATAGGTTGGATGCATCAACCGTTGTCTGGAGACAACAAGAATTCTAAAGATGTTCCAAACACCCTTTGTGACCCTGTGACTATTCTGAGTACAAACTCTGGACCTTGCTTTCTTTCTCCAATGCCTAATGATTTTTTTTAAGTTTCATGTATTATTTATGAGAGTAGTTAAGTAGATAAATACATTTCCTGACACTTCAAAAGAAAAATGAAGAAAATGTTAGTAAATATAAAATCAATTCATCAGATATATTTTAAAATCATAGCTGTTCAATTTTGAATGGATTGCTCTATTCATATGGGTGAATAAGAACACACACGCACACACACACACACACACACACACACACACACACAATCTGGTTAACACCAAAAACAGACTTCAGTCTCTAGTATCATTAGACAGGCCTTTGCACCAACTTTACTCACTCTGTTGATAAAATTTCTTTCCCGAGTTTGAGATGGGGCTCAGTCAGTAAAGTGCTCGCCTGGTATGCATAAAGCCCAAAGTTTGATCCCTAGCACCATATAGAACCAAGCAATCTGTAATCCCAGCACTTGGGAGGTGGGGGCAGAGGGATCTTAAGAAAATTCAAGGCCAACATGGGTTATAGGAGACTTTACAAAAAAAAATCTTACAACCTTTTAAATGTGAGTAGATCATTCCTATATGTTTTTGAGAAAATACTGTCAGTCATTATGCTAAGAATTTTAAAACATAATGTAATAACATGTAACTCTTGGAGAACTCACAATTCAGAAAGCCAAAACAATAAGAAATATATGCCGCATGCATAGCAGCATGAACAAAGTGATGGAACATAGAACCAGAAGCAGCAAATTCTTCTTAGAAGGTGAAACTGAAAGTTTCAGACACTAAGCCCCAAAGGATGAATAACAGGTATTCCAGGAGAAAAGAGCTGTGAGACCAAAGGCATAGATGTGAACAACGTGTCCGAGAAACAGTAATCATAAAGCATGAAAGGCATTTCACATCTGAAGCAAAAATAGTCTTTGCTTTTGCATAAACCCAATATGATAAAGCATCCTCACAGCTCTATACACTTAGCCCTCTCTGTGCTCCACAGGCCCTCAGAAAGGCACCACTGTGTCCTTCCTTTACCCATGCTGTACCCTGTCAGGAAAGCCTCTGTCCCAGGGGATCTCTGGCATTCTCTGGTGGACTCCCTTCTTGTTTTCTTTGTGCTTCTGAAACAGTTTTTACATCTCTTGCTGGAGAATATTTTAATTCTTTGTTTACATACATATCCACCCCCAAACAAGCCTGTGATAGTCTTAAAGACAGTAGACTTTTAAATAATGTTATCCTTGATAAATATGAACATAGGAACTTATGTGGAGAGCTGGGCATTGAAGATGATGGATAAAATGCACAGTAGGAACTTTCAGTGAAAATAAATGGAGACACAGGTAACTTGTAAGTGGAAGAAGAAAAAAAATCTAGAACTGAAGGCCCTGGAGAAACATTTCCATTCTGCTTAAGCCCTGACTTTAATCCAAAGATTTTCTCACACAACCACTTTGGCATTGATTTAAAACTATTCCTAGACAGATTCATAAACTCAGGTCTTTCTCTTGTTACATTTTTAGAGCTCATAAAGGGGAGAGTGCGAGGGGAGGTCTTCGGATATAATTTAGTCACATTAAACAGGAGTACAAGGGGAAGAAAATTACTGTCTAGTCTTCCTTTCATCACCAAGCTTGTAATCCATTATAAAGGTGTTAAACTCACTGGTTGTGTGAAAATGAGAGGAAATGAGTCTACTGACAAAAAAAAAAAAATGCAATGAGACAGTGAACTGAAATGAATGCTTCCCAGGCCCTCAGATTCTCAGTCTTATTGTCTCGATTTGTTATTTTCACAAATGACCAGAAAGTGAAAGCATAACCACTGCTCCTAAAAATAAAGATTTTATTAAACTTCATTATGCCTGAGAGTGCTCGAAGACATTGCCTGTCTTGTGACCTCACGGGCTATTCAGACTGCTCACCCCAGATAGAGGGAAATGGCTCATTAATGGTACCTGGCGTCAGGAGATGTGTTA